CCGTAGATCGACGGCCACGCCTCTAGTAAATTTTTCATGTCTTGATGTCCTCATCAAAGGGTTGGAAGAAAATTTCATGAAGAGCCTTAGAGAATACATAAGGGCAAGGGTGCTGAGACCTAGAGGGTTGAGAGAGACAATAGAGCTAATACAAAGGGTGGAGGAGAAACATCAGAAGGAGAAGGACAACCAGAGCAACCCCATGGGAGGGGCTTACAGGAATGCCTCTATGACCTTGGCACTGAGGACCTAGACGGTGTCATTTCTAATGGAAGCACCTAAAGAGAAGAGCACTATAGTTCATCCTAGAGGCAATTTCAAATGCCTCACAGAAGCTTAAGTGCAGGATAGGTGGGTGAAATGGTCATGCTTCAGGTGTGATGAGAGTTTTATACCCGGGCATAGGTGCAAGAATTGAGCCCTTCAAGTCTTGATGCTCTATGAAGGGAAGAAGAGAGTGGGGATGAGTTGGAGGATGTAGTAGAGACAGAGCATTTGCACTGGGATGTGGCGGAGGTTTCCAAATCACACCAAGAAAATAAGTGGGCAAATCACACCAAGAAAGCCTATGTATAAAAAGTACTACAGTAAATTGTGAGATTTCCTTGAACTCTATGAAGGAATTTACTCCAAATCACACCAAGAAAATAAGTGGGCAAATTAGTGAGCAATATGTGGTTGACTTGGTGGAAATCTCACAATTCTTCAATCCGCCGTTGGTTCCCCCTGTGTAACGAGGGTGGGAATCTCACCATTTTTCCATCTTCCTCCCATAATCTGATCCCCATGGCTCGGTTTGTCCACCTCCTTTGCTGGTAGTCCATTCCCCTTGCCAAGTGGCCTTCCGTAGTAGTCGATCACTCCACCACCCCCACCATAAATCTCCCTTCTTGCTTCCCCTCTATTCGGTACTCCTGATTTGCCTCTTATTATATCCCTAGAAGGTGGTTCTTCATGAAAGAAGCTTTCCTCATCGAACTCTTCCTGCCTGATCTCTTTCCCCTTAATTGTGGTCAAGGAAATCCCAATCGATTCTGGATTAGGGTTAGCAATTGGAAACCCCCACGAAGTTTTTGTTTGCATCTCCAAGAGCTTCCTTAACATCTCCTTCACCCCTCCAAATCAATTTTCTATATGGTTTTCCATAGATGAAAACATTTCTTCCATGGTTGATAATTTCTCCTGCAAGTCGGATTTAAATTGTTCCATCTCGCCTTCCAACGCATCCACCATCTTTACTACTATTGTCTCCAAAAAACCTCACTCTGATACCAATTTGATGCGATTTAGAATTGAAACAACACAATAAACAAGAAGAAGTGTAGGAACAAAAAGATTGAGGTTGATATTTTTATTAATACTTCAACAATAATGACAAATACAAGTAGTCTACTATTCAAGAAGTAGATCGGCTCTCCCAATCAACCTAGACGCCGCTAGAAAGCCCTCAAGAAGAAAACTACAGCAAACAAACAAAACACACGTGACCCTCATAACAAAATAACTAGCCTTAAATAGGCTCTTCTGATTTCTCTCCCAAACAGTTTTACTGCCTTAATTAATTCTTTCTCTTATTTTGAATTCAAAATTAGAATTCTTTCCTTCAATTCTAATTAAAACTTCCCTAAATAACTTCTCCTGTTGTATCAATGGTTTTTCTGCTGTAGTTTTTCCTTAAGAGTTTCCTAGCGGCATCTAGGGTTTGTGGGAGAGCCGATCTACCTCTCAAATAGTAAATCACTTGTATCTTTTATTTATGTTTAAGAGATAATAAAAAAATCAGTCCTCATATTTGTGTTTCAGCACTTTCTTCTTCTCTACTTAACTATTTTTACATCCAAATCGTATTAGTCAATCACTAGGTTAAAAGCAACTAGCCTTGGTGTGCACAAACCCTTACACAAAAAGGAATAAGAAGCTTAACTTCAAATGAATATATATATATATATATATATATATATATATATATATAGCACGGAACAGATGCCAGAAAAAACATCTCCGGAAAATATGCCAGAACAAGCATTTCCTGCCTGCATTTTATCACACAGGCCTATCTTGTTTTTTCAATAAACAGCTATGATTCCTTCAGTCTAATATGCATTAAGGAAGTCTCCCGGGAATGGTCTTCCTTGCCCCAAAAAGTTTGGCCTAGAAACCAAATCTACTCAAATTAATTGTCAAAAAGGTATATCCAGTCATATAGGAGATAAAAGATGGAGTGAGTGATCAAAAAGCTGATCTGAAAACACAGCTAGAGCTCTTTTAATGTAAATGGAGTCATCCATGTGAAGAAATATAAATGGAGTCTTCAATATGAAGAAATATAAACAGAGCCATCCATACGAAGAAATATAAATGGAGTTATCCATATGGATAATGATATCAGAATTGTTTATTTCTCAAAGGAAGACATAGTAGCATAAGCTAGCTAAAATGCCACTTTCATGACCACCATCATGATAATGACTAATCAGGGAAAGACCAAGAAAAGTTGCCACACAAATTTTTTGTAGCAGACCAAATGGATGAGTTTTTCATTGACTTCAGCATCATTGGTAAGAAGACTTGTACTTTCAATTTTCATAATTGTTTTATTTTTTTATAGCTGATTTTTTCTGATGTCTTCAAAAAAGATCATAATGGTATGTACAAGCACACTGCTAGATCCTCCGCCAACGCTATAAAATCAGCAAATTGGTTTGTAGCTTCCAATGGCCAAAAAGATGTGTGCCATCCCCAAGGAAAAGTGAAGCTTGCCTTCTTTGCCTTTGGAGATCCCAGTGCAAGGGTGTGAGATGGCATGCACTATTTTGTGCTTCGCTTGCATCTTTGTGCATGGAAAAAATGGCATGCCCGCTTCTATTTTTTGAGTTCTGTCTTTTTTTATAATATAAATTGGTCAAATATTTTATTGTTCAAGAGCAACAAAATCTTAAAAATAGCCTTTGCCACTCTTTCAAACCTTAACAAAAAACCTCAGCTTCAAGCCTTAGTGAGGAAACCATAACCCATCTTTGAGAGCTCTACCAAGCTTCAGAAAACAGCACAAACCCACGTGTTGGAGCCAACTCAGGTGATAATACCCATTGACTTAAGGCTTCTAATGCTTCTCTTCTTTTATGTCATCTCTTTACTTTTTACTCTTCTCCTTCTTTCCCATCTTATTCCTTCTTTTTAGTTTTACTACTAAAATCCGTAGACTTCTCGTCATTCCTTTATACCAATTTTCCTTCTTTTTTCAAACTTTTTTTTCCCTTATTTTTACTCATCAAAATTGTAGCTTCTATTTTATGTTTTTTTTCTATTATACATGCTGTTTTGGTTTTTTTTTTTTTTTTTTTTTTTTTTTGGTTTTTTTTTTTTTTTTTTTTGCTATTGATCGCTACAATTGTTCCTCGTTTCTTCTCTTTTGTTTTATAATAACTTGCTAAAAGTAATAGCAATGCATTTATTTCAAAGCTGATTAAATGTATAAGATTGCAAAAACAGAGAAATTCAATCGGATTCAGGCCAAACTCCGTATACAAAAAATGATGCAACAGGCTATTATGGGCTAATGGAGAAATTTAAAAGAAGAAGAATTACGCAACATAAACGGCATATTGTTAGCGTAATAGAAATGATAGAATTTGTGAAAATTTTCACCAGCATGTGAAAAATGAACAGTCCGGAAGCAAATGAGCAATTATGAGGAGCAAAAAGAACAAATAAAAGAAATGCCACATGATGATGTGGAAGAAGAAGATTTTGATTAGATGGTGATGGATGATTACTTCTTAGCTCATCAAACAGTCATTAAAGCTCTAAAACGTATTACAACATTGAAAATAATCACCTTTAAAATAGAAATAACCCCAGTCAACTTAAAGATTTGTAATTTATTGCCAACAAGATTTATAGAACCCAAAGAAACAACAGATAAGAGTGAAATTGCTTTGTTCAAGAGTGTTGCAGGCTAGAATATACGTGGTGATAGAGTTATAATTTTATGTCTTTACGTTGCACGGACATCCAGCTCACACATAGAGAACACAATATTTTTAACGTGGAAAACCCATGAAAGGGAAAAAATCACGAAGCCTAGCCCAGGTGAAAATGATTCCACTAAAATTTGAGCAAAATACAATGGTCTAACTCGTCATTGAAGACGACCAGATTACAAATGTTAACTAAAAGTTTCGCAAAAATTCAGTGTCATTGAAATTCAGTGTCACTCCAACGTCAGGTGGTGGTCCGGCAATGACACTTTAGCGTCAGGGGGCACTCGAACTTTGGTGGCACTTCGACGCCTTTGATGTTCTGGTGGTGATTCGACAGAACTCCGGCATCCTTTGGTGGTCCGGCGGTGGTGCAGCAAAACTCCGGCTGTGATTGAAGAGGAGCTAGGCAACTGGAGCTTTATTCCTTCTCTTCATTCATCTCTCTGTGCTTCGATCCCCTTTTTCAAGAGTAAATGAGATTCTATTTATAGAATTCTTGAGTGACATAGCTTGTAAATAAGTAGAATATCAAGGGTAAATTAGGAGTGGTTCGGATGGACGGCCAATCTTGATTTCTACGATCATGCACCGTTTAATGGACCTTTGATTGTCTTAATGTTATCAGAATTTGATGATCTTGGGCTCGTTGGATTCGTCTCGTCGAGTCATTCGATTCGACTATAACCATGTCACATTTGGAAACCGTTTGGTAATCCAAATTGTAGTTTGAACCTTCCAAAAGCGCTTCAGGTCTTTGATTTGGACCCATTTGAGCTTGGATTGAGTCGAATTTGGTGTCATTGGGTTCCTATTTCTGAGACGTTCAGTTCAGTTCGACTGTAAGTTTGTTGAAATCAGAGTTCGGATGATCTCCGATGAGGTTTTCAACTTGATTTTGCGTCAAGATTCTTGCTCGATCAAGGTAATTTTTTGATGATATATCAAAGAGTATAAGCAGCGGTTCTCTATCTCCGCAAGCAATCTAATGCTATAAAAATAGGGTTTCCCAAGGAATACCTGGTAGATTACAAGGATAAGTAGAGCAACTAGAAGAAAGAAAGCGCTGAGCCAAACTATGACCGTCCCCACCATGCCCGCCAATCCGTCCTCTCAAGGAAAATTTTCCAGTTCACCGGTCTCCGCTTTTGGATTCTTTTCTATTCACTTTAACCGGTTCTAATCCGCGTAATAATTTCCCAGAAAGAAGAGAGTATCGTGGAGTCCGCAGGAGGAAGCAGATGCTAAGAAGATCAAAATCAGTGGGGAGCTCGGAGGGGAAACCGTAGAAGCAGCGAGGGATTCTGGGCTCTGTATATCGTAGGGTATAATTAGAGTGTCACGCGCGAGTGCATCACGTAATTTCCTATTTTATTTATTTTTATTGAGTTTGAATTAATTTAAAATCCGATTTAAAATTCAAAATCTGATTAAAATTATTTATTCATGTTTAGTTTTAAATTAAATTGATTTTAATTAAATGTATTTTAAATGTTAAAATTTAAATTTTATAGGCACATTTGCTAAACAAATCAATCATGATTATTCAAAATTTTAAAATATTTATTTTAATATATTACATTTGGCAATTGTTAGCATTTATTAAGCTTAAGAATGTTAAATAAATTAAAGCTTTGTTTGGGATGGCTTACTTGCTGCTTCTTATAGCAGCTTTTTAATAAAAAAAATTTAATTTTTGTATTGAAAAGTTACTTTAAAAAATAGTAAAAAAACAGTCCCAAACGAAGCTTAAGATTTCATTTGAGATGACTTTCTTAATGCTTTTAAAAACAATTTTCTAGCACAAAAATTTCAAGTTCAAAATAATTTTGTACTTCAAAATTACTTAAAAAAAAAAGTAAGAAAACCTTCTCAAACAAAATCCAAGAAATAAACAATAACTAAAATTTTACATACATAAGAGAAGTTCAAATGAGATGTTAAAAATTTTTATGTAAACATTTTGAGAAGAAAAAAAATCAAGAAATCCGGCCTAAGGTTTTGTTTGAGATGGATTTCTTAATACTTTTAAAATAAACTTTTTTTGTACAAAAAATTTTATGCTAGAAAGTTGTTTAAGAAAGCAATAAGAAAGTTACCTTAAACGAAGTCTAAATCCATAATCTCTGCTCTAAATATCTAAATCAGCACTAATTTAATTTCACAAATAATTTTATCTTGTTTAATTGAAATATAATTAATAATATTTTAATTAAATTTTACTTTTAATTGCTAAAATAAAGTTGATAAAGTAGTTTTTTTCTTAAATAAGAGGTTATAATTAAGAAGTGTGTTATATTCTCAATTGATTATCAAAGTACTTTGTGAATGAAATTGATTTGAATTTGAATTTTTTATTGAACATTTATTAAAATCGTAGCCCCTTAAACCTCATTTTGGGAAGGCATTGTTGAAAAACCTGATCGGGGAAGGCATTGTGGGATTGAGGCATGTCGTATTAATTGTTTGAGAAGTCTGTATTGGATTCACAGCATGTGAAGAGAAAAGGTAATGTAGTTGGATCATTGGAAGAGGATGCTGCTTGAAGGATTTAATCACAATCCAGGGAACAAAGATAAATAAAAGCTTCAAAACTTCAAATAGAGTAATATATCATCAATGAATCTCCTCTCTTACAACATATTGTTTATAATACTCAAGTAGAAAAACCTAGAAGATTATAGAAACATAAAACAACTTGTAGCAACTACATAAGATATCCTAAGGAATACTTTAAGGTTAAAATGCTCCGCGTCATTCTCCCCTTTCGTCAAAAAGAGCTCGACTCCGTCGAGGCTCATCATCGATAGGGAGGTAGAGGTAGATATCAAAATTAGTCCTCCTGGATCGAAGATTTTGAAGAAGAATGTTATGACCTCCTCGGCAGCACCATTCTGTTGGCACCCAAAGACCATGATGAATAAATCAGCCTCAAATCCTATTTGGAACATATGTCCATGCACTGATCTTCCATAATTAACATACCCAAGAAAATTATAAGCTTGAAGAACACTAACTAAAGTAAGGCCATCAACTTTTATACCATTCTCCATAGACATATTTTTGAACACATCAGAAAATGCTTAAGGCAATATTTAAAAAAATATGACGTTCTCCATCGCAATAGCGATTCCAAAATTCTATTGCATAAATCGGCCCTCATAGTTATCAGCACTGATCTCAACAAGATGACCAGCAATATCTGAAAGTTCAAAATAGTTTCTCTTGTTGTCTTTAAACTCCTCCAATGGCGAGGAAGCAAGACCATAATTCATATGGCCACCATTCCCCACATGCTAAGAACCCATGGCATTTCTAAAAAGTTTTCTTATGTTAGGAGCAAAACTCATGTTCCATCCGTCATGCCTCAAAGGATTACTTGGTCTAATAGAAGATGTGCAGAAAACAAGCTGGCTTGCCATAGGGATTCCTAGCCCAACAAATTTGGTATTAGATCCTTCAGTGACATTTCGTCGAACAATTTGAGAGCATTGTAATGGATCGACTTTGACAGTAGAATTCTAAACGGACCTTTGCACACCTGCAGTATAAACATCCCCATCACCACTTCCCATTATAAAAACATCTTGTTCCTTGCTCCCATTCTCACCGTTCTCAGAAGTTTCAATCTTGAGCTTCATTAGGTATCCAGGTAACTTTGAAACTGAGAAAAATGATATTTCATCGGAAACACATGGTTGAAATCTGATTTGTATTAACTTTTGTCTTTATTAAGCTTCCAAACAGAGAAACATTCATGTTGACCTTCTGACAATCCACATTAATAGAGTTCTCCTGATCCTTCTTCTGATTTATGTCAGTTTTTTCACTAAATAAATCATCATAAGAAACAGATGGGCTAGAATGGATACTTTTCTTCTCTACATTCTCATGCACAAAAAATTTAGAATGCGGCATCTTACTTTTCTCTTCATCATTTATCCTCCACGGGGTTGAGGAAATGTGTTCGTTCGGTGCTAGGTCATGTTCAGCATTTGTCTCATGGTCCAGTAGGTCCAAATTGGAACGAATGGTGCACCCTTCGTCATCATTCATATATGCATTCAAATCTATATGGGCTTCTGATTGCTCCATATCATCTTCGAAACTGCACTCGCTGTCGGAAGCAATCGGTTGCACATGGTCAATCTTGTCTGGCCGTGGGAGATTGGTTTGGGCACAAGCTACAGAATTGCTCTTGATGCTATTGCTAGTCGTGGAGTCTCGATTATGTTCGCGTGCTAGAGGCGGTCGGTCGAGTGCGGACATATCCAATCGAGGAATATCATAATGCAGCGGAAGGGGGTTCTTGGGGAAAGGAGTATGCATGAGTGGAGGTGGATACACGGGTTCAGTAAGAGGATTGAAAATCTCTGTTCATGGACATTGGTGTTGTTCGGGGTCATGAATCTGGCCTTAAAGTGGAGGGGATCATGCCAACGGAGCAAAAGCTCTTGTGGAGGGTACTCCAGCGATGGATCACACCATCAGAGAGGGAGTTGGAGTGGAGGGTAGTCGTCAACAACAATCGGTTGATTTTGAAACTGTTTGTGATCACCTGAAGCTCGCCTGAAGCGGATGAGAGGAGCGAAGACGCCAATATGGTTGCCGACGTCATTCGTATTCTCATTATAGATCGAAGGTTTTTGTCTATCTGATCAAGTGATTCATTCACTTGAGCTTGATAAAAGGCTATACAAATTTGATCGCTGTCGACAGCCCACCTTCCTCGGTATTGATCGTCGTCGACCGTCAATATTATTATTTGGCTTTGATCGTCGTCGACAGTCCACCTTCTTCTGCAATCCATCGTTCTTTGCAAGCTCCGGCCTCTGATACCAAACTTATGTAGTTGGATGGTTGGAAGAAGAGGATGCTTGAAGGATTTAATCCCAATCTATGGAACAAAGATAAACAAAAGCTTCAAAGCTTCAAATAGAGTAATATATCATCAATGAATCTCCTCTCTTATAGCATACTATATATAATACTCAAGTAGAAAAACCTAGAAGATTCTAGAAACATGAAACAACTTGTAGCAACTACATAAGATATCATAAGGAATACTTTAAGGTTAAAATGCTCCACATCAAAAGGAAATTGCAAGATGGATATTGTTGGAAAATGCATTGTAGGATCAAGGTTATGTGACAAGGCTTGTTGGGGAAAATAACAAGGGATTGATTTTGTGCTAATATTGTGAACAAATCTTGTTAGGGAAGATGTTATGAGATTAAAAGAGTGTGATATAGCTCATTAAAGAAGGTAGTGATGCTTCCACTTACGTGTGAGGAGAGGACTTTGTGGACCAACATCATTGGGGAAGGTATTGTGGTATTGGTGGTGTGCGATTGTAGAAGATCAGAGTCATGCACATGAGTTAAGTAAAACATAGAATACAAAACAGGTGTTTGAAGTAGAGATGCTTAGTAAATAGCTGTCTTTATTGCCTGCTACAATAGTAGTACATTAGCTTATATAAGTGAATATCTTAGGTAGCTTTACACGTGTACAACTTAGATGCCAAATAGGTTGTTATATGAAAATGGCTATGATTTGCTAAATCATGTGCTTTTCTATGTTTCTATTACAAGTAGTGTTGTTATGCTCTAATACTTCCCATCAAACAGATGTATCTGGAGTGACCATCAGTTTGGATCTGAGTTGATGAAACCTTTATGTGGTCAGAGGTACAGTAAGAATGTCATCAACTTGGTACATTGTGCTGATAGGAAAGAGTCTATTAGTGTTGTTTTGAATGTGATCAAAGATGAATCTTTGATTCATTTCTATATGTTTAGCTCTAATATAAAACACAAAGTTATTTGCCAGAGCAATAGCATATGTATTATCACAACATAGATCACTTGGTTGGTCCAAAGTAGTCCCAAAATCCATCACAAGGCGCCGAAGCCATATTACATCTACCGTAAATGCTGCAAGAGCTATGTATTCAGATTTAGTGAATGAACGAGCGACCGTATGTTGTTTCTTTACTGTCAAGGATATGAGATACTGTATCCAATAGCGACGAAATTCATTATAGAAGATAACAATGAGATCAACTGCATGTGATTAGAAGAGAACTTTGTGGGCAAACCTCATTGTAGAAGGTATTACGTGATTGATGATATATGACTTAGCTACTTGGGAAAGACATCTATATATGGCAAAAGTTCGAAGGCTCAAGTTCAAATAAAAATTCAACTTACATTCAAGGAAGAGTTAAAACAAAAAATTCATTTGAATTAATCAGATTCAATTTTGTTTGCAATGAACTTCAACAAATAATCTACAAATTCAAGATTAATAATTTTATGTCAAAGAAACATTAGGA